TTTTTTGTTGTATCTTTGTGTGGATTTGTTATCAGGGTGATGCCTCATAGAATGAGTTTGGGAGAGTGGCCTCTGTTTCAAACTTTTGGCATAATTTGAAGAGAATTGGTGTTAATTCCTCTTTGAAGGTCTGGTAGAATTCAGTAGTAAAGCCATCTGGTCCTGGGCTTTTCTTGTTGGGAAAATGCTGATTACTGCTTCAATCTCGTTGCTTGTTTTTAGTCTGTTCAGGTTTTTATGTCTTCTTGATTCAATCTCAGTAGTTTGTATGTCCAGAAATTTATCCATTTCCTCCAGGTTTTCATATTTGTTGGCATATAGTTGTTTGTAACAGTCTCTAATGATTCTTTGCATTTCTGTGGTATCAGTTGCAATGTCTCCTCTTTCATTTAAGATTTTTTTATTTGGGTCTTCTCTGTTCTTCTTTTAGTTAGCCTAGCTAATGGTTTTACTATCTTGTTCATCTTCTTCAAAAAACAACTTTTTGCTTCATTGATTTTTGTATTTTGGGGGGATCTCTATTTCATTTAGTTCTGACCTGATATTAATTATTTCTTTCCGCTATCTTGTTCATCTTCTTCAAAAAACAACTTTTTGCTTCATTGATTTTTGTATTTTGGGGGATCTCTATTTCATTTAGTTCTGATCTGATATTAATTATTTCTTTCCATCTACTAATTTTGAGATTGGATTGTTCTTATTTTTCTAGTTCTTTGAGGTGTAGCATTAGGTTATTTATTTGAAATCTTTCTATTATTCTTCTGTAAGCATTTAATGCAACAAATTTCTCTCTGAGTACTGATTTTGTTGCATCCCAGAGGTTTTGATATGATGTATCTTTATTTTCATTACTTTTAAGAATTTTTTTGATTTACTATTAATTTCTTCTTGGATGCATAGGTCGTTCAGAAACATGTTGTTTAATTTCCATGTGTTTGTATAGTTTCACTTGTTATTGATTTCTAGTTTTAATCTTGTGATCTTAAAGGATACTTGAAATGATTTCAATTTGTTTTAAATTTGTTGAGACTTGATGTGTGACCTAACATGTGGTCTACCATGGAGAATGTTCCATGTGCTCATGAGAGGAATGTATATTCTGCAGTTGTGAATGGAATGCCCTGCAGATATCTGCCAAGTCCAATTGGTCTAAAGTTTAGTTTAAGTCTTGTGTTTATCTGTTAATTTGTTGCCTAGGTGATCTGTCCAGTGCTGAGAGAGGAGTGTTCAGGTTCCCAACTATTATCATATTAGGATCTACCTCTTTCTTTAGGTCTAATAGTGCTTGCTTTATATATTTGGGTGCTCCAGTGTTGGGTGCATTTGTATTTATGAATGTATGTCTTCTTAATGGATAGATCCCTTTATCATTATATAGTTGTCCTTCTTTGTCTCTTTATATGGTTTTTGGTTTAAAGACTACTTTACCTGATATAAATATATCCACTTCTGCTCATTTTTCATTTCCATTTGCATGGTATATCTTTTTCCATTCCTTCACTATTATTGGTCTGTGTCTCTCTCTACAGGTGAGGTGAGTCTCTTATAGAAAGCATATAGTTGATTCTAGCTTTTTAATCCAATCACTCCATG